TTCTTGCTTCTTCTTTCTAATTACTTCTTTAACGATGTTCTTTTTACTATTGAGGTCAATTAAAAAGGTTTTATGTAATACTTTGGTCCCGTTTTCGGTCTTCCTTTGTTGTACGCTGAACTCTTCAATAAAATATGGGGTCTTCCCTCTTTTTGTATGCTTCATTCTCTGGATGAAATTTGGTTTCACACACACACATGGAGCCAAAATGTTCCCTCTTAAGTGTTTGAAGGAATTGAAGTTGTCTAGGAAAACTGAAAGAAAGGCATACTGAAATATAAGAATTAAGTATCAAAAGAAAAAAGGGACAAATAAATAGGGAGGAGTAAAGGAAAAAAAAACCAATTAATGGTCAGAAAATGTTAATTTAGTAAGGCCAATTTCCATTGTTAAGTGATATATGTAAACTTACCTCGAGCTTAAGCATAAGACTTCCCATCAAAATTTTCATAAAAACAATCATTTCAAGAAAGTTCTTTCAAGTTCAAGGAACTGATAGCTGTGTAAAAATTGTCTAATTGAGTAAAATTATTTCAAGCAAGGAAAAAGCTTGCATAATGGCATCAGAACAACAACAAACCGTTAAAGCTATTTTGAACATTCATTGGACAACTTTGCAGCAATGTATTGAGGTAACAATGTATTCTCTTTATTACAAGGAAAGAGTTGAACAAAAAACCTCATCTTGGTTGGCAGGATTCCACCTTACAAAGTCTAGCTGTTCCTTTAAGGAAAGGTGCAGTAAGTGTTTGATCTCGTCTTCACTCGACCCTATTAGTAGAAGGAAGGTACATTTAGATCCTAATGTGAGTACCTGATAATGTTCACTGGCCAGATAAATAAAATTTCTTTCCTTTTAATTTTTACTATAAAGGAGAAACTACAAAATTATAATAAATTTTATATTCGTTAAACAATGGACATCATCCTGCAGTATAAGTTGAGTTCATAAATTTGGATTCTACCTACCCTAGTTGCAAATTCAAGATGACAATGTTATAAAGCAAGTTTTGTAGAGAAGGAGGCTACAAATATCAAAAGGACATTGAACACAAAAAAATGAGAGAAACCAAGGAAGAAAGAAAGGAGGAAAAGAATAAGACAAAACACTTTTCGTCTATGAGATTTTATTTTGGTGTCTATCCAGTGCTTGAGGTTTAAAAGGGACACTTTAGACCTTCAGTTTTGGAAAATGAATCTAAATGGTCTCTGAGCTCAATTGATGAACGAAGGAGAGAGAAAGAAGGAGCTGTCACCTCACCTCACATTCCAATTACAAAAGAGCAATATAAAATTTATATATTTTGCCACATAATCATAGTCCAATAAGCAAGTAATGGCCATGTCAAAATTTCATTAGTCAACTATTAGTCAACTGAGCTTGGCGATCATCTAAAACTATTTTCCAAACCTTAGGGATTAATGTTTACCATTTGGTCAAAAAGCTTAGAACAAAAAGTACACAAATAGAAACGGAGAACAAGTTACCTGCTTCATTAGTCTGGAAATAAAGACTTTCAAAGTCGTGCACTGTTAAACAACCTGTTTTCGTTACTGAAACCAAGTATATTCCCTGGCATAGATTTCCATATATGAGTATGTGGATGGGGGTGGGACAGGCGCTTTGGAAAAAGAGCAAAGAATAGAAAGTCAGAGATTATTGAGAATCTAAGATACTATCTGAAGGTAATGATCCAACAATTCACCTTGTTGTCAAAGTCCACAGCAGATATGCCTTGTCTGACAAAAGAATGAAAATTAGCAATTTTTCTTTCCCGAAGGGGGATGGGGAGGAAGAGCTGATAGATAGGGATGAAATTCATGGAGGATATCCAGTGAGAGGGAGAGGTAAACACTAAAATAAAAAGAATATTTCTCCCATTGAAAAAATAAGTATATACATATGTATAAGAAATTATAAAGAGGTATGTGAACAGAAAACACTTCTATTTTGCCTATGGCTTTCATTTTAAAATGATAGCCTTGCGAGAATTGGCATCAGAATCTGGGTAATCAAAGAAGGTATACAAAAATTAATTTTAAAAAATGCACAACTGTCTCGTCTTTTTGAAAAAACTCATAGTTTTACCTAAATTTTCATAGAAGAACAAACGATGAACCAAAAGCAGAAGAAAGTAAGAAAGTCACATCGCATTGCTTGGAACATGATTTGATAGAGAAATACTGACTTCTTAAATGGCAGTAGATGATCCTGAGCTCGATTGGCAATCCGATTCAACTGTAGACTCTACATTTTCAGCTTAAACAGAAAGTAACCACACAATAACAAAAATAAAACTGAAAATTTAGTAGTGAACAACGTACACTAGTTGGACAGAAAATGCCGTCTATGTGATACAAATGAGGAAACGCTCCAACCTTAAGAGAATGAAAAGCAAAGACGCACAACCGTTACATAATCTTCAAGAGTGGAGGGAACATTCAACAAACCGAGCTGCAAAATTAAGGAAATGCCAGAAGAACGTCGAAGTTGTATACCTCGGTATAAGATTGCATTAGAAGCACGGACAAGTCCTGACGGTACTTCGGATCAAACTTCCCATTCAATTCGACGTTGCTTAGTTTCCACCTATTCCTGCTGATGAAAACAAACTATGAAATTCAACTGACAAATCCGGAAGACAGAAAAAGGGGGCGAAGCAATTGAAGATATGACCTCGGCAACGGTTTAGGATTTTGTGATGTAGAATCGGAAGGAACCAAGTACTTGTCCATGGCTGATAAAACGGAGCTTCTATTTGAGTTCCCGAAACTGAGGATTCTGGACTTGTTCCTCCGCACCGGAGCTTTCCTCCACCTCCTTCACAGATTGCTTTTGCTTTGGCCGGCTAACAGTGACGACGGCGACCGGAAATTTCTCTTCCCTGGCCGTCCGTCGGCTTACAGTTCCGTGAAATACTCTCGCTTCCGGCGAACGTAGTCGGTGAATTGTGATCGCCTGTGGTCATTCCGATCCGATGAAGGTTAGGACTTGTGAGCCGTTTTCCCACCACTCGGCATTTTGCTAAACTGCGCGGGTCTCGAGTGTTAATCCCAGGATGCGAAATTATGCTTTTACCCCTTTTCTAGAAACATTTATTTGGACTTCTGACCCCTTTTCTAAAAGCAAATTATTTGTCACTCCTCCATAATTCGAAGACATAAGGATTTTTAACCCCATTCTATAATCCATTTGGATTTTTAATCTCTCCTAAAAAAAACGTAATTGTGATCCCTCCCATTCTAATTTGGGATCCTTTTCTACTTTTTTCTTGTCTTTGTAAAATTATCTTTTAAGAATAAATTCTCCACCAATCTCCAACCTTAAACCTAATTCTTTTTAATTTCAATTTAATATGAAAAAAAAATATCAACATTTTAATTTCACAATCAATTATCAATTGAGAACCCACAACAAACACTTATCAGAAAGGAGAAACAGAACCCTGTTGGACATGGTTCGATCAATGATGAGCTATGCTCAGTTGCCTAACTCGTTTTGGGGTTATGCAGTAGAGACTGCAGTTTATATTTTGAACGTAGTTCCATCAAAGAGTGTTTCTGAAACACCCTTTGAGCTATGAAAGGGTCGTAAACCTAGTTTACGTCACTTTCGCATTTGGGGATGCCCGGCACATGTGCTCATGACTAACCCGAAGAAACTGGAACCTCGTTCAAAAGTATGCCYATTCGTAGGTTACCCTAAAGAGACGAGAGGTGGTCTCTTCTTCGATCATAAAGAAAACAGAGTGTTTGTATCGACAAATGCTACTTTCTTAGAAGAAGGCCATGTTCGAGATCATAAACCACGGAGTAAGGTAGTAATTAACGAGATTTCCGAAGAGGCTACAAACACAAGAGTTATTGATCAAACTGGCACTACAACAAGAGTTGTTGATGAAGTCAGCACATCGCGTCAGTCACATTCACCTCAAGTGTTGAGGGTGCCTCGATGTAGTGGGAGGATTGTGTCACAACCTGACCGCTACGTGGGTTTAACTGAAACTCAAGTTGTCATACCTGATGACGGCGTCGAGGATCCATTGACCTACAAAAAGGCAATGGAAGATACTAACAAGGATAAATGGGTCAAAGCAATGGACCAGGAAATAGAGTCAATATACTTCAATTCCGTTTGGGAACTTGTAGATCAACCTGATGGGGTAAAACTCATAGGGTGCAAATGGATCTACAAGCGAAAACGAGACGCCGAAGGAAAGGTACAGACCTATAAGGCGAGACTTGTGGCAAAAGGCTACACCCAAAGGGAAGGGGTGGACTATGAAGAAATCTTCTCCCCTGTAGCTATGCTTAAGTCTATTAGAATACTTTTGTCCATTGCCACATATTATGACTATGAGATATGGCAAATGGACGTCAAGACTGCTTTTCTGAATGGCAATCTTGAAGAAAGTATTTATATGTCTCAACCCGAAGSGTTCATAGAACAAGGTCAAGAGCAAAAGGTTTGCAAGCTTAAACGGTCCATATATGGACTAAAACAAGCATCTCGATCTTGGAACATAAGGTTCGATACAACGATCAAATCTTATGGTTTTGACCAAAACGTTATGAGCCTTGTGTATACAAGAAGATCATCAACAACACTGTAGCCTTCTTAGTGTTGTATGTGTATGATATTCTACTCATTGGGAATGATGTAGGATACCTTACTGACATAAAGAAGTGGCTAGAGACTAAGTTCCAAATGAAAGATTTGGGAGAAGCTCAGTATGTTTTTGGCATCCAAATTCTAAGGGATCGCAAGAACAGAACGTTAGCCCTGTCTCAAGCAACTTATATCGACAAGATGCTTGCTCGATATTCGATGCAGAATTCCAAGAAAGGTTTACTACCCTTCAGGCATGGAATTCATCTGTCTAAGGAGCAGTGTCCTAAGACACCTCAAGAAGTTGAGGATATGAGACGTATACCCTATGCTTCAGCAGTGGGAAGCCTGATGTACGCTATGCTATGCACTAGGCCTGACATTTGCTATGCGGTAGGGATAATCAGTAGGTACCAATCCAACCCAAGATATGATCACTGGACTACTGTTAAGGGAATCCTCAAGTATCTTAGGAGAACAAGGGACTATAAGCTCGTGTATGGCGCTAAGGATTTGATCCTCACAGGATACACTGATTCTGACTTCCAAACAGACAAGGATTCAAGGAAATCCACGTCAGGGTCAGTATTCACTCTTAACGGAGGAGCGGTAGTTTGGCGAAGCATCAAACAAGGATGTATCGCAGACTCCACCATGGAGGCTGAATATGTTGCGGCTTGTGAAGCAGCAAAAGAGGCGGTTTGGCTTAGAAAGTTCTTGACAGATTTGGAAGTCGTTCCAAACATGAACTTGCCCATCACACTTTATTGTGATAACAGTGGTGCTGTGGCAAATTCTAAAGAACCTCAAAGCCATAAGAGAGGCAAACACATTGAAAGGAAGTACCACCTTATACGGGAGATAGTGCAGCGAGGAGATGTGATTGTCACGAAGATCGCTACAGAGCACAATATTGCTGATCCTTTTACAAAGGCACTCACGGCTAAAGTGTTTGAGGGCCATCTAGAAGTCTAGGTTTACGAGCTTTGTATAGTTAGTCTAGGGCAAGTGGGAGAAATGTAATTGGGTATAGTGTATGTCCTAGTTTATTGTATTTTCCCTTTGCTTTATGATAATGTACACCCCACCCGAGTTTAGTTCAAGTGGGAGGTTGTTGGGTGTGTTGCCCTAAACTCGTAGTTTGTATTTTGTAAAAACATATGTCTATTTAATAAAGTTTTATTCAATAAATTTGTTGTTGAATGATAGCTTTGCATTTTCCAAAATCCAATAAACTAAACATCCAAGGTTATTTATGATGCAATCGGGACAGTATATATACTGGGTATATAGTTGATATACGGGGTATATATTTGATATACCTCTGATATATGAATGGATAATGTCCCGTGAATAACCTAAAGGGTCTATAGTATATGGATAAAGCTGGGTACCTTATCCTGGCAACACTATGGATACAGCCCACTCTGTAAAGGTTACAGACGACTCGATCCAGGTCGTTCGTGTGGAGACATGTGAGTGGGGGTATCCTATACAATGAGTTTGTATAAGACCGCACCGCGAAATAGACAATCTTTAGATGTAACACCGTTAACTAATAGATTGCCATTTCTTAGGATGACCAGGCAACTCATTCTCAATCCTGAGTGAGTTATGGACTCCTGCCCGTGAGGGCTCGTCCTTTGATCTGTATGGGTGAGAGTGGCCCTAGTAGCCGACTCAACATTCCTACCATTTTGGGGACGAGACCGAGTGGGGAGCTGGGAACATAACTTCACAAGATGGAATGCACTCCTCCCCGACTTTAGGGGAGTAGATGAGTGTTCCCTTAAATGCTGACTCCGGGACTTGAACAAGGGGCCCCACCCTCTCATTGGCCGAGAGGGATTTCCGGTTATTGGTTGGACCATAACCGGGTTGTTCATTAGAGGAGCAGTGATGTTTAAGGAGTAAGATGTAACTCAGGGGTAAAACGGTAATTTGACCCAACTTGAGTTACGAGCACTCGTGAAGGATTGACTCGTCATTAATGGTCGTATATCCATGGACACGAAAACATTCTGCAGTGAGAAGAGTGCAACTGCGGGTCTTTAGTGGAATGACCMGTAGTTAACGAATCTTGATTAACTCGGTCAATRAGTTTGACTAATTAATCTTGCATCGTTGGAGCTTCTGATCTGTAGGTCCATTAGGTCCCCTTGCTAGTTCATAACGGGTAAAACGAGGATCAAGTTTTTGGAAGAATTTGAATTGTTCAAATTTCTTAAGGGATTATATGTATATTGATACATTATAATATATAGTTAATTCAAAATTAAAACTATATATTAGGAGAGAAATTATTTGAATGTGATTCAAATAAAATTAATATGAATAAGATTCATATTAAAACTATAAGTTAAAAATAATGTGCATAAGATGTACATTAGAACTATAGGTTATACGAGAGAAATGCTTTAGAATATGATTCTATTTTGATAATAAATAATTAAGTGTTAATTATTTATTTAATTAATATATATATATATATTTAATTGATTATTAATTAGATTAATAATTAATTAATTAATATTAATTAATTAAATATATATATTAATTATTATTAATTAATAATATTATTTTATATTATTATTAATAATAAATCACTCCCTGCAAAAATGCAGGGGAGTGGGAAGTTGCATATGACGTGGGGAGTTACCCACGTCATATTTCCCTTTGTTCCTTTTGCAGTGGGTTCTGCATAGTACAGAAGAAAAAAATCTCAAGCATTGTTCAATCTCTCTCAAGGTCTCTCTCAACTCTCCCTGACATTCAAAACAAAACGCTCCCACAAGCGTATTCCCGAAACCCAAGAGGATAGCAAGGAAGACTCGGTGGTGCTGTTTGGGTGGAAATCGTTGAAGAAAAGTTCTTCAAAGGTAATGACATTCCTCTGTATTTTCCCTCTTTCAATTTCGATTTTGTATCCCTAAAATCAGCAACGAAAATCCGCTTCCGCTCCGGGAATCACATCCCTTCAGTATCTTCCAATTGAAGTGATCTTTTGCTATATTGAGTCAAGATCAGTAATCTGTAAGTCTTTATTTTACCAAAATTAAGACTGCTTGGGACGAATTGCATCAGTATCGTCCGATTTGTACTTGTACTTGTACATGTGGTGGAGCGAAATCTGCTTCTGAATTTCTCTAGTTTGAATATCTGATGAATTTCCTCATGAGACTCAATGAGTCATATGCGTCTACTCAAGCTCAAATTCTTCTCTCATGGATCCACCGCCTTTTGTTAATAAAGCGTTTTCCCTTGTTCATCAAGAAGAACAACAACGCACCATTTGGCTCTTATTTGGCGCCATCTACTGCAAATTCGTTTCCTCTTGTCGTTCAAAGTGATACTTCCGCTACAAAATCAACTGCTAAAACTTCATCTATTAAGTCTAAGATTCGACCAGTTTGTACACACTGT